ATATGTAATTACATGATTTCTAGAGATTGTTATTCCACTTTCTGGTCAGGATATAAAGCATGCAAAGTCTGGATAATGTATAGCTATGCAAAATACCGCACGCGCGCTGTGCGAGAGGCGAGCTTGAGGCCTAGAATTGCGATCGTGCCCAACCAGGGACGTCATAATCGGCCTATACTGCGCAAACAAAATGTTCAAGCCAGGAATTGTAGTTCTGAGAATTAAGGTTCTTGGAAAAAGCTTCTTATCGCGTTTCATTTATATTTACAAGACTTTAGAGCAGAATGTGTGTCTTCATATTGGTCTACGCTATCCGGACATGTATAATTTGCCCATTTTTAGTGATTATGTGAAATTTCTTCGCCAAGCTACTTGAAAGAGGAAAAAACCCAATCCTAATGGGGTTATAAGCACATTCTCATGACGGAAGACTGAAATGACCTTTGATAAGTATATCATCTATAGATGCGTGCGAGTGTAGCGAGCGATCTTTGGGGAAAATTGCTTTTAGTCGCTTGAAATTAGCTAGGGCGCGTTTAATGATGAGAGGAAAAGGGGACACTTATCAGGAATGAAAAGGAGCATGTGCCAAAGTACAAAGAGTAATTAGTGAAAATGGGGAACTTCTTACACCCTCAAAAAGAGGCACTCACCAGGGATGAAAAAAGTCAGTAAAGAGAATAGGAAATGGGCATTTGTCGTTGGAAAGGGGGCCCATCAAATTTTGATAGGGGCAATTATAAGACGTGAAAAGGGGCATTTATGAAAAGGGAATATAGGTCCCTTATTAGAAAGGAAAATGGCACGTATCATTGTTAAAAGGGAAATTATCAGAGGTGAGAAGGGGCACTTATCGCACCTGAAAAGGGGCAATGACCAGATATAAAAAGGGGCACTTATGTGAATGAAAAGGGGGCACTTATAATGAAGGAAAATGTGCATTAGTTGAAAGAAGTTGGGCACCGATCAGATTTTAATAGGGGATTTATCGGAGGTGAACGTGGCACTTATCTGAAGTGAAAAGGAGTAATTTCTCGTACCTGAAAAAGGTCATTTACCAGAGAAGGAGCACTTATGAGAAGGGAAGGGGCTCTTTTTAATGGGTCACTTATCATAAGAAAAAGGGGTACTTATTAAAAAGGGAAAAGGGCACATGTGGAAATATAAGATGCGCTTATCCGAGTTAAAATGGGGTTAGTTAATAAAAGGGGTAGGGGCACTCCTTACAAAGGGAAAGGGGCACTTGTCAAAGTAAAAGAGGCACCTCTCAGAATTAAATAGGACAATTATCAGAGGTGAAGGGGGCACTTATCAAAAGTGAAAAGAGGCACTTCTCGTACCTAACGAGGGGCACTTACTAGAAATTAAAACGGGCACTTATGAGGATGGAAAATGGACACTTCTTGCAAAGGAAAATGGGAACTTCTCGAATGAAAAGAGGTACGTGCCCAAGTAAAAGGAGCAATTCTCAGAGTTGAAAAAGGGAAGGGCACTTTAATAGGGGCACTTGTCAAAGTGAAAGGGGCACTATTTCTATGTAAAAAGGGGCACTTTACGGGTGCTTGAAAAAGTGGGGGGGCACTGTGCCCCCCTGCCCCCCGGGAGGGCCGCCTCTGCATTATGTTATATGTCCCATTTGTATCTCTCCACCCTCACATTTCCCTATATAGATACTGTAATAGCGTCCTCATACAGCGCTATTAACAGAATAATCCCAATTCCCGCCAAGAATCCAATATTCTGCAGAATAGCCACGGTGACCTTGTTGCTTTTCCCGTCGTATTGGTGTAACATCGGAAGCTGAAAAGGATAAGGAAAATGATTACCTTCTTTTATACAGTGGAACCTCGATATAAGGCGCTCTGATGAAACAAGGTATCTGTTATAACAAGGTGATTAATGCAGGTCCAATCTCTCTCTCTCTCTCTCTACATATATATATATATTTGTTTTTAACCTGATATAACAATTTAGGTAATTTCCATGGTCTCAAGGACCTCGTTATAACAGATTGGAACTGTACTTCCTTTCATAATAACATTAGCGAGGATTATACTTCCGTTTAAATTATGAAAGCCTTTTGGAAGAGGCAACAGGAGCCTTCACGCTAGGGAACTTAATTATAATTTTGTTATGCTATATGTTCATTTTGCAAAACAGATGTTGATTATGTACACGTAGAAGGCCAAACATTATGTACGTAGCTATTAAAACTAATTGCCCAAAAATATCTAAAAATCGTATCACTGGGCCCATTAGAACCAGAGTGGCCTCTGTAAGTTTAGAAGTATGGAAAAGATATACATTAACATGAGATTCCCTTCATGTTTCTAAACATTTCTGATCAAATGATACTTATATGTCTACTTTGCAGGGTAAAGAGAGAACAATTTCTGACGTTATTAATGAGAAAGGAAATAAATGAAAACATAAATTATAGGGTTTTTTTAGATCCTGAGTTGTTATCTCTATTGCTATCTAAATTGATTACCACAAGGCATACACATTTCATATACATATTGTTAAGGTATCTAGCTTGGCCTAGATTCGTGAAGATCCGAATTCGGATAAAATCGTTTATAGAAAGTCTCGGGTACATTTGCGGAAATTAAAAACATATCTTCGGAACGATTCGGTAAGTTTATCGGAAAACTTCGGGGAAGATCGTGCAGCTGCCGCTTACCATGTCAACGAGTCCAACGTAGAAGAACATGCCAGCAACAGCAGCGAAGATCCATTCCCGAGCGGTCTCGGTCTGTCCCAGCGGGATCCCGATCCACAAGCCGATGAATGCCGAACAAGCGCAAATCATATTCAAAAGGAGTGCCGTTCGGAGTCGCATGCCCTGCTTCATGAGTACGGCCAGATCACCTAGAGAGAACAAATTAGAATAGCGTCGAACAATTAATTTAAAGCCCGTCCGTCTAGTTTGGCCAGGAGGGATTAGACCACCCAGCGTGGTCGGTGACAGGTGGCTTCTCATCAAATCAGCTCTCAACATATGAAAAAAGAGGATCGTGGGGGACCATCGGGCACCGCTTAGGCATTGTTTTCTATATAGAGGGAGCAAGTAGCTACAAGTAGTACAGTGGGGCTTTAAATTCACTGTACGCAAAAATGTAACTGGACATCAATTTCGAAAGCTATTTTACTTGCATGGTATTTAGGATCAGTTATTGGTAGGTCTTTATTATTATCGTCATCCCTAACATCAACCACATCACAATCATTTTCATCGTCACCACAACCATCATCATCGAAACCATTTTTAGCACTATTTATCATCATTATAATCTTCATCATCACCGTAACCATCACCACCATCATCACCACCATCATCACTATCATCGGTGGTAGACGAGGTTCGTTACCTAGTTCGTGCGGGATCTCGTGGCAGAGGACAGCTATACTAGTTGAGAGTCCGGCAGCGATGCTCAGGGAGAATGCTGCCCCTATCGCTAGACCGTCACCGAAGTTATGCAACGAGTCGCCCAGGAGTATCATCATCGCTACCGGATTGCAACCTTGAAAGAAGAAGAAGAAAACAGAATCATAAACAGTCAAAGAAATTTAAAAAAAAAAATAGACAAGGACTAAAAATAATGGTAGGCTCGTAGTAATGAAATTCAATAATATTCGATTGAAACCAAAGGTATGGAGAGATGAATGATACAAGACAAATGTACCCTTCTATTATACAAAGGATACTTAAAATACCTAATAGTGTCATTGAACAGTCGAAATACAAATAATATCAGTACTAAAATAGCATCTTAGGCTTCATAGTGTGAATATAATTTTGGCCAAGATTATGGAGAGATGAGCAATACAAATACTTATTATGCATTCGAACTAAAATATGATCAAATGATAACCTGGGAGTTTTTGTTTAGTATTAAAGAGTCCCTTCATGATTTTCATAAACTACTACTACTACTACTACTACTACTACTACTACTACTACTACTGCTGTTGCTGCTGCTGCTGCTACTACTACAACTACTACTTCTATTAATATTACTACTACTACTACAACTACTATCATATTGCTCCGATTGTCTCATTTTCGCTCTCAGGAACATTGCCAGCGCAAACCACTGAACTCTACCTACTGGACGGATCATCGCCCATTCCCATTCACTATACGTTACGTACTAAAAGGCTGTATTGCCTGACCGTTCATGAATATTTATGTTTTTGCTTACCTCGGCAAAATTTTTGCTTTTACTAAATGGACAAATTACGGTGGGGGTTGGATGAAATGGACATAATGAACCAAGCAGGGGGGATCTATGATAATTCATGCTTCTTATCCTTCGTGTGCTTGACTTATAATCTTAAAATCGCTTGGCAAACTGAGTCCAAAGTTCGACTTGTTTCACATGTGTATTATAGGCAATGACGAGCTTGCAACCTATTTTGATCAAATTACGGTGGGTGAACTTCCAAAAGTTAATGGGACATGAGGGTTCCAATGAAAGAGCTAGTGATAACGTAAGTCGGGGTGGATGTGCTTTTCTTTTAAACAAAAAATGAATTTTTAACGATTTTTTGGGGGGTACAATTCCATAGGCTAACATGTATGGCTGCTGACTCTGACGATAGGGGGCGTTGTGAAATGAGACTAAACGGAGCTATATGTACTACTACTACTACTACTACTACGTCTGCTACTACAACTACTGCTACTACGACTACGACTACGACTACTACTACTACTGATTGTACTACTACTACTAGACTGTACTATTAATACTACTCCTACTACTACTACTACTACTACTACTACTACTAATAATAATTATTATTATTATTATTATTATTATTATTATACTGTACTGCTATTACTACTACTATTACTACTACTACTACTACTACTACTACTACTACTACCACCACTACTACTCCTACTACTCCTCCTACTACTACTACTACTACTACTACTACAACCACCACCACCACCACCATCATTAGTGGCTTCAGGCTTTGCGTGACGCAATTCAAAACTTACCCCTTACACAGCAATCAGTATATTCGGTCGGGAGAGGTGTTTCAGTTTCAAATGCCTTTGCCTCATTAGCTGTCTATGAATGAGAAGAAAATGATAGGATAAACTTTGGTATCTTACGAAAAACTGCACCGTTACTATGTGGAGCTGCTAAATACCGTATCAGGACAATTACCCACTGGACAATCACCCCCCTGAAAATCGGTCGGTTTGTCGTCGATTTGGCGGTATGACCGAAGCATGATTGTGATAAGGTAATTCAGGCAAACCAGGAACCGTTTTACAAAGCCTTTTTTCAATGACAAAGGACAAAATTTGAGTGACAAATCTGCTGATAACCAATCAGAAGCAAGGATTTCAGTAGCTTATAACAAAAACTGTCATTTGTCACTGATGACAAGTTCTGTGAAACATGGCCCTTCTCGGGACCGACAACATACCGATGTACACATGTCATTAGAATGAATGGCAAATAGACAGTCAGTTTGGTTGAGAATCGGACTGGAGTCAGGGTATTTTTTCGGTGTGACTGCAGAAGTATTCGGAAGACGGTCGATTTTGGAGGATAATAGATGTCCTCCGTTAATGAGACAAGTTTAGAATAATTTCTAACGATCTTAAAGACCGTCAATACTACTGGGCCAGAAGGGATTAGACCACACAGCGAGGTCACTGACAGGTGGCTATCTCATTAACTAAGCTCTCAACTAACATAAGAAAAAGAGGATCATGGGGGAACAACAGGCACCGATTTGGGAAGTTTTCTATAAAGAGGGAGCAAGTATAGCTACAAGTAGGACAATGGGCTTTAATAACCATCAACTTTTCGACTTTATACTCATATTATGAAAAAAATAGTACATGTCTTTAGCTTGTGCATTAGTAGTATGCACTGCACTTGGTTAAGTCACCATGAGACGAACAATGAACTCGACAAGTCTCGGTCATTATCCTACTTTGACTTATCATGCGTGAGGTGCATATTCACTAATGCACTGGCAAACATGTATATATATTCAAGAAGCAAAGAGAAGAGGTAAAGTGAACCTTACTAGTTCCATCTTCGATTCTGAGTGAGATACTCCATTTTTGCCAGTAGCAAATGATTCTTGTCCCGACAAAGCACGCCCTCGTTGGCCCTTAGCTGCCATCTCCACATCCGCGGATTGTGTATGGCTGTGATGGGAGTGACCACACTGTCCAATGTAAATCAAATTATTTGAAGAAAAAAATGTAATCATTTGATAATATAGAAGATAATGACGATGAAATATCACATTATTATGTTTAAGTATCGAAAGAATAGAGAGGGAGAGGGAGAGGCTTTGATAAATGGGGCTTACAGCCATTCTAGTATTTGATCAAAACCAATAAAGGCAGTATTATCAATTTTCGTCAAAATGTATGTAGAACTACCAAAGGTCGATAACGGTTTTCCTCAGCGATTTTCAACCTTCTATAAAGCACATTACCGCGATATGGTCGCAAATTAACTGTTACGTAATATAATTTTCTTCATAAATCTAGAATTCAATGTTCATGGTGTTCTCTGCTTTTTTTATGTTTGTATTTGTTTGTTGCCTGTTTCTTACTCGTTATTAGTCTGTTTTATATTCATTTTCTGGTTGAATGTCTTCGGTTTTCGTTCATTATACCATCGAACAAAGCAGTCATGCTTTATAATATTTTTGTTTTCCTTTCTTTTTTTGGTCAACAAATTCGCGTTATAAATGTTCGTCAAATGTAGATTTATTAGTTATTAAAATAGTTCAAGTAAACAAAATGAAAATATCACAATAGAATATAGTAACTGCGTTATCGATCTTATTAGTAATATTACTTCCTTTATGAAGCTCTTAATTTGCTCCTAGACGAAGAACGCACATATGTATTTCTCTGATTTTTCTTTTTTTTTTGTTTCTGCTTATTCCGACCAAGCAATTTAGAACTTTTGAAAGACAGTTCAGAACGCATCATTTTAGTTTAAAATGGCGGCCTACTTTCATGAAACTCGTTATCTGTTCGGAGAAGAAGACACATTAGGTTTTTTTATTTTTAATTTGCTTTCACAGCGAAAAAGCAAGTTATAACTATTGTTTTTTTTATGCTTTCATTATAAATAATATAGCTATTGAAAGGCTGTTCAATTGATTCTTGTAGTGGTGGTTATTTTACCTGACTGCTAAGAAAGCATAAATTGTTAGTAAGCAACCATAGGAACTCACCGAGAGACCTGGTAATGAGGATTAATGCCTTACCGAAGGGCACTAGCGCCTTGGTTTCGAACCCAGGTCGCCGAATTACGAGAACACTGCTCTACCAACTGATCTATCGCGCCTTCTGGAATTCACATGATTTAAAATTGTGTCCTACCTTCGTGAAACTCGTCAGCTGCTCGAAGACGAAAAAGACGTAGATGGCCATCTCGACAACGAGACACTTCCAGATATACGCCATCTCCGGGCTCGTAGGCGTATGAGCGCTGTGATCGCTGCTGTCGTGGGTGTGGAGACCCACAGCCTGCACGAGATTGAGAAAGAAACGTTTATAAGTATGAATAAGTACATGATGTATTGACCATATCAGGAAATTCGATTTCCACTGCGCGATAGAGGTAATATAATATAATGCATATAATGAGACAAATTACAATAAGTTAACAACTAAATTATTCATATGCCTACCCCATGTAAATTTGACACCCCCCCCCCCCCCTTCGTATTTCATGAACGAAAGATGGACTGGTTATATGAGGGCCTTTAATGAATACTTTCAGATGTTAGCTTTGATATGTCACATCTCAAGAAACATATATCAGGACAAATCAATTGTTTACACGCTAAAATAATGACAAAACTTGGTGTTTTTACAATCACTTCCATTTAAAGCATTACCAGTCAGCATACAAAAGGGCTCAAGAAAAAAAAGAATGGTATGATTCCCTTCTCGACATATCAATGACCATCGAATACCTATGGTAAGAGGTGTAATATAGCATCATCAGTCAGTATTAAATAGTCTCGAGAAAACAAAGAATGGTTGAATCCCCTTCCGAGATTTCAATATTCATTGCTTTCCTCTGGTTCAAAGATGGTGGTAAGACAGCATTCCCAGTAAACATAGAAAAGGGCTGAAGTACATCAAGAAAGAGTGGTGAAGTCCCTTTTAGGGATAAACTGCCCATTGCTTACCTTTTGGCCCGGTCCCACTGGCCGATGGACACAAAACGTATGCATAAAGGACACAGCGGACGAGCAAAATTTCGGGGGTGGCTCCATCTGGTTTCATCCGCTCCAGAAATGGACAAAATTTGCAAAAACAGAACGGAAAATAACGGACGTGGGTAGTATGTAGCGGGGATGTTAAACGGATGTTCATCGGAAGCCTAGCGGGTGAATGCGGATGGAAGTGGATGACAGCTTTGAATACTTTATATACGAGATGCATACGCTTACATCCTTTCTATTTCCGTGCTACTAACGATGTATAGACGTTCCATGTACCTTCCCTTTCCTCCCTCTATCCGTTTTCAGCTACAGCGGATGTGAGTTGCGAGGATGCCCAGAGGATGCAGAGAGGATACAGCGGACGTTTAACGGATGATAACGGACATATATAGAACGTTTGTTGCTCGTATTTGTCGCGGATTTACATTGTACACGGCGGAAGTTCATCCGTTCTAAAAGTTTTGTGCAGCTCAAAACTTTTTGCGCGGATGAAATCACAGTGGACGGATGCTCGATGGATAGAGCGTATGAAACACGTATGCAATGAGTACACAACGGATGCATAGCGTTTTCCAACGGATGGCAATATTTTGTTTACGTTTTACATCCTCTTTGCATCCGTGAGTGCAGTGGGACCGGGCCTTAAGGTAACAGATGTATTAGAGAGCATCACCAGTCAGCATACAAAAGGGCACAAGTGAAGACAAAAAGAAAAAGAAGAAAGAGTGATGAATCCCTTTTAGGGATAAACTGCCCATTGCTTACCTGTGGTAAAAGATGTAAGACAGCATCACCAGTCAGAGTAGCCACGGCTAAAGCTATCATTGTTTATATGGTCTTGTCATAAAAACCCTCTGACATACACGGGACGAACAACCCGCCGAGCACCGCAAACAGGCTGATGATGAAAACTGCTAGAGTGCCATATCCCCACACTGATTAAGAGGATACAATAGAATAGAATACAAAATCGATTATTAAAATAATAAAATATATTTATTTATCAAACAACAGATCAAGTTTATCAAATACATGTATTAGGGTCCTGCTGAATAAAATTATCATTAATGGTATATCGATCTGCCATCATTGGTAACTTCCATGGTAACATTGCTCAACAGCCAATCAAAAACAAGTATTTTATTGAAGTTACCATTGATGGCAAAGTGACCATCAATGATAAGTTCTATCTATTTATCAAACGACGGATTCCATCAAATATATTTAAGTAGTTTGATTTTGAGTTTTGATTATCAATTACGTGAGTTTTCACCGTAAATAGATAAATACAATGCAATTATTCATTCATAAATTAACTTAAATTTGTATGTCTTCATACAGAGGAGATCAGGGCCCTATTTCATAAAAACGTGTTTTTATCTTCATACAAATTTGCTCTCACCCAAATATAATTATACTAAAACGCCACAATTTTAATAGTTTATAAACGGTTTTTTATCTTGATAATTATAACAAGCTTTATGAAACAAAGTCCATGTCGAGTTTTTGGACATTTGTTTGGAGAAACAATTCTTCAGCGAAAGTGCACAAGAGAGGGATCTTTCAATGACGCACCCCAAAACGGAAGGCGGGAGTCACAATAAGAAAGAAACTGAAATAAGTTTATTACATTCATTAAGAAAAAAATAGCTGGTGATATATCAACAAAATCACTAATCAGTTACACAAAATCAAAATATTATTACTACCTCTGAGTCAATGAACCCCCAAAATGGGAGGCATTAGTGATAACAAACAAGAAAGTGAAAGAAGTTAATTACATTTATTATGAAAAACAAGGCTGGTGATATCTATCTAAACATTTACACTAAATCACAATATTTTTACTCACTTTTTGCTTTGGAGATTTCCGATGGCTCAGTGGTTGTAATTTCGCATGCTCCACTCAAGATTTGTTGCACCAGTGACGGAGAAAGTTCGTTGAACTGTTCTTCGGTAATTCCAGCTTCATGGTCAATACCGTATATGTCTAGTAGTTCTTCGCTCGAAAAGCATGTCTATAGACAAGAGAGAGAGAGAGAGAGAGAGTGGTATAAAGTAACAGGGGGAAATCCTTTATTAATCTGATCTATTTATTTAAATACAGTGATTAAAATACATGATTTCAGCTTGACATAGCTGTTTTCAACATGTCCCTACATGGTACATTTACTAAGAATACAGGGCATTCTACTACGATATTGAGCCAATTTAGCTATTCCTCTTCTAACGAAGTATTTAAATCCAGCTCAAAACCCTTGAAATCTTCATTTTTCGTCATCATGATGACTGTTGAGATCTTTGGTCATTAAGTTTTCATATGTTTGAATGTTTGTGTCAAATGCTAATAGAATGTCTTCCAAAATCAGATCGTAGTCGGATCCTATGTTGTACGATGGGATTTAGAGTATATAGTAGTCTATTCGCCATACTTGTACGTAGAGTTTATTGAACTTTGGCTGATAATGAAGGCGAATTCAAAGACTTTCGTTGACTCAAAGAATGAAAAATGAAAAATGAAAATACAACCAAACCAAAACCAAAAGACAAAAAGACAAAAATGAAGAATAACTAAACTTTACCATACTTTTAAAAACTATAATCATTAGGGTGAAAATAGTGATGTAAAGGGAGGGGGGATTGATTGCAAAAGTCACAACCTATCTGAGGATTTGATTATACCTCAACGTTTTGTCGTTGATAGGCTATGTACATAATATGTCAGATATAAAATTAGATTATTCAGTGACATTTTAAAGGCATGTCATGAGAAACTATTTATTTCATTCACACTAAGACTGTTTCACCCTATATATCCAATGTCTTTTAAAGGCCTTTTTTCAGAATTGTTAAGTAGTCTTATTGTATTATTTAGCGAACCATTAATCCCGCTTTTTTTGCCGACAAAATGAATAGGCCTGATCGGAAAGAAAAATACATATTTCAAATAACCGGGTGCGAGATTATAACAACATTTATAGACTTGAATTTTTTTTCTTCACTGAGATACATGGAATGTTAACCTATTGACTCCTTGAACCGGACAGTCCAACTCTTGAGAAAAGATCACCAGCTGATCAACAAATGATATACGAGCATACAACCCTGATTCCCCCCTTTTCACTCTCGAATTAGTCCCATGGACGCAATTGGTTTAAGCACCAAGGCCCTGTTTCATAAAACTTGTTACCAATAACAAGTTCAAATCACAAGCTACTGAAATCGTGGCTTTTGATCCGCTGAGAGCAACTTTGTCATAGAAATTCAACATTTGTTATTCATGACAAGTTTTAAGAAACAGAGCCCTTTCAATCGACACAATATTTGCCTTTACCAAAAGGGTGAAAAGCTCTCAACATAAATACATCGAAAAACATAGATAGCATTTAAATTAATGGGACATGTTTCGGAGTTTCAGACTCAATCCTCAGGATGAATTTCACAACCGAACTGAACACAATCAAGTTGCTTTTATATAATCCCTGCCTTCTCTGATTATATTAATGTTAAATGTCAGATTTAATAAACAGTTGGTAACCATTTTAATTGCGTGCTTCATGAATTAAGTACATTGTCATGAACAAAATACAACGTACATTATTCTGTTATCAATTTATTAACATAATCCTGATCAGAGCGCGGATACCAAACGGAAATCAACAAAATGTATTTGGAACAATAACATATATACATATAGCACTTATCAGTTTACATAATAGTTATCTATATTCAAAGATTGGGCACGATGTGCATAATATTATAACAGATAAGGACATAATAACGTCCTTGTTTTCACGAAGTGAGGAAAATCGTAACGCAAAGTGAATGCATTTTTTTTTTCACTACCGTCACTTCGTAAAAACAGCGACGATAATAGTAATGGCATCATACATGTTTATCACATGCCCTGTTGAGGGCCAGAGACGTGTTGATAATATAATAGGCCTGTTTTCATCAGCTCGAGATTGCCAAATAACCCGCTATTTTAACTATCCCGATCGCAAGTTATCAAGCTAATTTGCATCTTCATTTAGCCTGCAGTTGCAATTAGCGGGATAATCGGTCGAGATAATATCCCGCTATTTGTCCGGTTCGTTTTTACCAGCCAGAAGACTAGCACTCTGCGCGAACGCTGAGCAAAATATCTCGAGCTAATTTGTGTGCAGGCAGCGTGAAGACGACCCAAGACATATCAATAATACATGTCAATAAAGCATACTGCAAACAGTCCTTTATTGACTAAGTCTTCATCAAATCATACTGTCTTGATTTTTACGAACGTCAAGCCACGCCCACCGATACTTCAATCTCGACCTTTGGACTGTTAATTAAATGTATCATATTGCTAATTGTGTAAGCTTGTACAAGCGCCATACATTTGTCAATTTCTCCAGTCGTTTCTCTAATACTCGTAGACCTTACTTGCTGCGGATCTTCAAATCTTGAAAGTCGAATCTCGTAACTTCATGTAAATGTGTAGCTTGAATATGGACTTTAAAATTTCTCTATGAGATTATAATAATAATAAATTGTTTCTTTAATAGCGCTTTATCCAATTTACAAAACACAAAAGTCAATGATTTAAAACTCAACAAAATATATGATAGAAATTGTAAAGCAGTTAATTACAATGTAAATATATGTGTTTTGAGATGTTTCTTAAATACTTTAACTTTAACTGACATACTACAGCGCAGGTAACCTATTTCATGTAACCGGACCACTGCAATAAAAAAAACTTCGCTCACCTATCTTCGATTTTATTCTAGACACATGGAAAGCCGTTCATACATCTGTTCATACCTGTAAAAAATAGAAATTTATCATAGAAGATTCATTCATGGGTTGACATAAAATTGCAATTTTCTGCAATGTATTGAGAACAGGGAATTTTAAAAGTTCTGTTTTAATTGCACATATTTCAACTTGTCCTGGCTAAATAATACACAGCAGTTCTTTAAAATAGTGTAGTTATTTTTTTCCAAAATGCCCGATAGCCCTGCACGACATCGTCGACCACAAAACCGACGGCTTTTCAACCCACAGCAGGCCTTCTGAACAATTGAGAGTTCAAAAAACTGTAGGTTGTCAATTTACATGGACGCCCCGCTCTTTTATAAGGAAGGAAACACAAGAAAAGAAAAGAAGCAGGAGAAGAAAAAGAAGGAGAAAGAGAAGTAGGAAGAAGGAGAAGGAGATGAAGAAGAAGGAAGAAGAAAAACATGAAGGATGAGGAGAAGGATAAGGATTTATTTACTTATTTATTTATTTATTCATATGTTATTGTCCACTTGTGTGATGGATCATAGGGTCTACTCTTCTGAAATCATATCATATGCAATAGAGTCGATGTGTGTGTATGTGTATGTGTGTGTGTGGGGGGGGGGTGGGTATTAAAACAACCCACAACTAAACACAATCACAACAAAAAAATCAATGAATGTTTTGCTTTAAAAATGCAACTTTTATGTTTGTACCCAAATTAATCGATATTAGGACTGATGCGATATTTAGAATTGGAAGAAGAGAATTTGTTTTCGTTGCCTGTAAACAATGTGTCAAATAGCAACCTGTCCATGTAGCTTTTTTTTCAAGTTGGAAAGATTTCAAGTATCTGGATGTTTTTGTTAAATCACCATTTGGGCGTTACATTCTTCTTGTAGCTGCAGCAGTCACCGCTGAAAGCACAGAGTCTGCTTTACCTGCAATCTCACTGCCTACCATCCCTTCAGCTCTGATGACTACATCTCTCCTCCAGTCGGCTCTCATCCCTACTTCATCTGCTATTATACTGGTTAGATGTTCATGATGGTGGTGGTGGTGGTGATGGTGATGGTGGTGATGGTGGTGGAGGTGATGGTGGTGGTGGTGGTGGTGGTGGTGGTGATGATGATGGTGGTGGTGATGATGATGATGATGATCAAGAAGATGATGGTGATCGGGGTGGTGATGATGTAGTTAATTTTTTTTCAAATTATGTTTTCAAAATGACCGATAGCCTTGCACGACATCGTCGACCACAAAACCGACGGCCTTTCAACCCACAGCGGGCCTTCTGAACAATTTCTGAGAGTTAAAACAACTGTAGGTTGTCAATTTACATGGACGCCCCGCTCTTTTATAAGGAAGGAAACACAAGAAGAGAAAAGAAACAGGAGAATAAAAAGAAGGGGAAAGAGATGAAGAAAAAGGAAGAAGAAAAACATGAAGGACGAGGAGAAAGATGAGGATTTATTTACTTATTTATTTATTTATTCATATTTTATTGTCCACATGTGTTATGGATTATAGGGTCTACTCTTCTGAAATCATATCATATGCAATAGAGTCGATGTGTGTGTGTGTGGGGGGGGGGGGGTATTAAAATTACCTACAACAAAACACAACCACAACAAAAAATTCAATGATTTGTTTGCTTTAAAAATGCAACTTTTATATTTGTACCCAAATTAATCGATATGAGGACTGAAGCGATATTTAGAATTGGAACAAGAGAAAATTTAATTTTGTTGCCTGTAAACAATGTGTGAAATAGCAACCTGTCCATGTAGCTTTTTTTCAAGTTGAAAAGATTTCAAGTACCTGGATGTTTTTGTTAAATGACCATTTGGGCGTTACATTATTCTTGTAGCTGCAGCAGTTACTACTGAAAGCACAGAGTCTGTTATACCTACAATCTCACTGCCTACCATCCCTTCAGCTCTGATGACTACAATCCTCCTCCAGTCGGCTCTCATCCCTACTTCATCTGCTATTATACTGGTTAGATGTTTATGATGGTGGTGGTGGTGGTGGTGGTGGTGGTTGAGGTGTGTTGGTAATGGTGGTGGTTGTGGTGGTGATGATGATGGTGCTGGTGATGATGATGATGATGATCAAGAAGCTGATGGTGATCATGGTGATGATGATGATGATGATGATGGGTCATGTATATATTTTGCAGAGCTAATGAACTGTTAATTAATGCCCTTTTTTTTTTACTCACAACAGGACGCTATTCACATTTTCTTGGGAAGGGAAGCACAAACAGGGAATAAACAGAAGAAATTTCTTGGCTTGATGAAATCTGTCAATCAATGTGTCTAGAAAATGTGTGCACTAAAGAGGAAGCAACATTTCATCAGAGGTAGGTCAGGGGCCTGTTTCATCAAACTTGTTATCAATAACATCTGCCACAGATCTATGACCAATCTGCTCTTAGCCAATCAAATGTAATGATTTCAGTATCTCATTAAACAATCATTGCCTCTCGTTATTGATAAGTAGTTTTATGAAACGGGGTCAAGATCTTGAGGGGCATCCATAGTTTGCCTCTCTGATCTACACCCTGGGTGGGGGGGGGGGTGTTTCACAAAGATCCTAAGTCGAATTTAACTCTAAGTTGTACTTTAGAACTATGGAAAGCCGTAAGCATCTTAAAAAAATATGTTGTAAAAGTTTTTTTTAAAGGCATAAAATATCTATTCAAATCATTCATAATTTCTATTATCAAGGAAATTTCATGTTCTTGATGTGGAATATATGAAAAGTCTAAAATACTTCAATTGATGTTTTTTAATATGTTTAATTTTAATACTACCAATGGCTCTCAATAATGTTCAAGTCCAACTTAGATTTAAGTGTGAATTATTATTTTTGTGAAACACCCCCCTGTTGCGGTAGATGGTCAGCAAGACTTGTACACAATGCAATTCCTTAAAATGCTAGATCACTGCAATTGCAACAGTGGTAAAGGACATATAATTTAAATCACATTTATTCATCAATTCCTCAGTTTTGTTGTAAATCATTGCATTCTTGCCACCTTGATGAACTACGTACACACAGTATTTATTTTTGTTAAAGAGATTATTTTTAGTAGGCCTACACATTCTTGACCATCACTTGTAATTCTAAATTACTTATGCTCTTTTGCAACAACCCTTATTGTGTTGTTGTGTTATGTACAAGTGAATATGAGAATAATTCTGTACAATAAAGATTTTCCTTGAAAATGTATTTTTCTCGGCATTGTTGTGTTATTCAAGTTGTAAAGCTACATGTACATTAATCTTGAGGTCTGGGTGTGGGTATCGTATGTCAAGAGAAAATGGCTATAATTCATTCTGCAGTAGATTGATCGTTTTAACCAGTAAAATAAAAGTAACCTCACAAAAATTTGATGTTAATTATCTTTTTCAAAAAACCACAACTCTCATTTGCGCATAAGGACCTGTGTTAAGCACATGGTGTTAGGCCTATATACCCGGATTTCCTCATCTTAAGCACTTGGTGTCGAGCCTTCCTTATCTTTCAAAGCTCATTACTCAGCCACTATACATTTCCTACCAAAAACGTTTGGCGCATGCCACTTATTTATCTTTGACATTTAGTGTAAGTTTTCTCGGGATTCTGTGGGATTTATTTACAATCATTACCACTACTTTTGTTTTTAAAAAACGCCCCCCCCCCCTCCCCATCTCTCTCTCTCTCTCTCTCTTTTCCTCTATTGAATTTTCGCTCTCTCTCCCACGCTCTCTCTGTCTCTCCCCCATTCTGTTTCTCTCTCATTCTTTCCTCCTACCTCTTAATACCATGCTGATGCATTTAGTCTACCTTTCTCTCAAGTTCTGTAAATTATCGTTCGACTTTCTTCGTTGTGAATTGAACAGAGACTAAAATTGATCCTAATAGTATAAAATAAACAATTTATTCTTATCACAAGAAAAGCGTCCATATAAATTGATGTGAATACAATTTGCAAGCATTTATGTGTTCAGTAAGATATCCGCTTCGTTTTGAATGCAATTATAATAATTATGTATTGATTCAATGATACATCCTCTAGAAATACCCTTTTAATCCCAATGAGACCGGGGTATTTGAGGTCTTTCTACGGCCGGTGAAGTGTATATAACACTATGGTAATTTTTATTTTGAGAAAAAAATCACTCATTTGCATATTTATGGTAATGTATGCAAACAAGGTCATAATATTCACGCATTTACACATGAATAATATCTTCTTCATATTTAAACAATAATTTTTCTGCATACATTCTTTACACCATTTGGAATAATATTATAACAATTTTTTTTTTTTTTGGGGGGGGGGGATAATTTCGTATGTATTTATATTAAAGGGCAAGCCAACCCTTGTAATAAGTTGATTCGTAAGAAAGTAGAAAAATAACAGAAACAGAATAGCAAAAGTTTGCAATGAATCAGACCAATACTAGGGAAGTTAGGAATGTTTGAAATGTGAGATCACTAAGCCTATGCGAATGTCAATTTGGAAATTCGGCCAGTGGATGTGACGCAGGACTTGGATAACTCTACAATTTTTCGTGTACACAAATATCATTAATTTCTGTTTTTTCTCCCTTGGGTCACTACTCAAAATTTATTATAGATAACATAATAGTAAAAGTCCTTTAAAAAGAAGAGACCATCCTATGTAATACATTTTCACATTTTAGTAATGTTATATGTTAGAACAGATGGGAAAGTAGTCCAGCACTACATCACATTTACATTACCGCCTCAGCCAATTCGAAGTGCCCATACGTAACGTAAAGTGATTACTTTACAACAACAAAAACATAATTTTCTTATATTTAGTCATATTTAATTTAAACTTTCATCAGTTCGCTTCCTTGATTTGTCTGCTTTCTTTTAGAGTAGTTAAGTTGTTTTTGTTTACAAAGAGTTCTTAGCACTGGAATAAGGGTAGTGTTGGGTAGTGTTGCTGCCCCCCTCCATCTCTCTCTCTCTCTCTCTCTCTCTCTCACACACACACACGCACACCCACACATTATGTTATCCGTCCTATATGTATCTCTCAACCCGCGGTCTGCTCGCTATTTATAAGAACCGCTATTTATAAAAGACTGCTATTTATTCAGTCCCGCGTTATGGATAGCGGTCCTTATGAATAGCAGTCCTTACGAATAGCGGTCTTTATTGATAGCGAGCTTGACCCCTCCACTCTGACCCTCCCTTCCTCACTCCCACCCCCTCACGGCTCACGTTCCCCTATAAAGATAATTCAATAGCGTCCTCATACAGTGCTATTAACAGAATAATCCCAATTCCCGCCAAGAATCCAATATTCTGCAGAATAGCCACGGTGACCTTGTTGCTTTTTC